TGTGTGTGTGTGTGTGTGTGTGTGTGTGTGTGTGTGTGTGTGTGTGTGTGTGCGTGTGCGTGAATTTCTCTCTCTCTCTCTCTCTCTCTCTCTCTCTCTCTCTCTCTCTCTCTCTCTCTCTCTCTCTCTCTCTCTCTCTACACACACACACACTTGGACTTCGATCCGTCTATTTTCATAAGAAAAAGAAAAGGGAACGGAAAGGACCTGGAAGTCACAAATTCCCTCCCAGATTTGTAGGCAATTTCGCTGCGTTTCCAACTGCAACGCCGGTTTTCAAATCGGTCAAAAGCCTATCGAGTTACCCCTTCCCCACAGGACAAATAAAGGCGATTATAGATTGTCAGGATTAGTTCATTTTCTCTAACACCAGTCCTTTGTAACTTTCGATATGTATTATGGAGAAATAACTGGTTTGTGCGTTTTGTATGAAGATATGACAATGGATTAGAGTAATGACTCCCCTCCCCCCCAAAAAAATATGATAATATTTAATAAGTCCATAAGAATAATCAGACAAACAAAGTCCAATGGGGACCAGGTGGGAGGGGGAGACACTGCGCAGGCACTGAAAGCCCAGTCTTGGCTCGGTTTAGATCATCTTGGTCCAAATCCCGAGCCACAGCCAAGCGGAACAGCAGCCCAGTACCCAGCTCCAGACTAGGCCTTGTCCCTGCGCCCCTCTGCTCATTCAACAAGCATGTACCATCTCGTCTTTGGCCCGGACTCAGAACGCTCCGGACCGAACGGGGTTTATGTGAACTGCTGGCGGGAGTGTGCACTGGGGTAGAACAAGTCCCAAAATGACGCGGTTCCATTTCTCATGAAGTATGATAAAAAAACCACAGGACTGATGCCCTTGTCTCATTTAGATTTTTCGAGGACGAAGAGACGGCTATCGTTCTTAACGTCTAACTTTCCTTGTGCTTAATCAATCTTACTTATTACTATAGGGTATTTACTTTATCTTTCCTTCTACTAGAGCACTTCATTACTGAAAAAAAAATCCAAGCTTCACTAATGTCTCTATGTCTGAAAATGGATGTCTTAAGTTTTTTTTTCAATTTTCCACGGAATACATTAAATTTGCCTACGGTAGGTTTATAGTTAATTTGTATAAACATATAAATGGTTGTTGACACTTCAGCTGTGGCTCTTCACAAACGTTAAGGAGGCAAACTAGAAGTGGCTATGCTTATAATTAATTGGCATTCTTTGAAAAAAAAATCACCTAACCATCTCCCCCTTCAATGAAGGCCACTGTAACTACAGATATTCTTGATCTGCAGTTTGCCTCTACAGCATTCCTCAGCAGCAGTTATCCTTCTTGAAAATGAAACTTGCTTGAATTATATCATCTGATGCATGATGGTAAGGGCGTGTGATCAGTTTTAAAGAATTCGGTACTCAAAAGCCTGTAATTCAATCTTCAGCAGTAACTATGGCAGTTGCAGTAAAGGCCATGCTCCACATTCAGTCTAGTGTAACCATCGGCATTAGTGTCCAAAAAAAGCAGTATCCCTGGTTGCAGAACCTGATCGTGTCATTTTGTAGCAGTGTTCCAACAGCAAGTCATGTTTGGCTGAGAACATCTGTTGCAGCTCAAAAATACAAACTCTCGGAATAATATAAACTGCAGCTGGATACACAAAAGCCATGTGTGTGCTTCATCAATCAAAATATACTTACCAACTACTGTGGCCCTCTTCACTGAATAGCTGGGTTTAGTTTCCAGAGACTAAATCTGCTTCAGGCCTCTGCTATGAGCCTTTGGTCCAATCTGCAACGCTTTCTAACAACTCCTTCTAAAGAAACAATATAAAGACCCCTCCTACAAGTCAAACACACAACACACATAAATATATATAAAAAAACAAAGAAAGAAAGACGCACACATACAATATATATGAAAGAACGAGACAGGAGCTAGGACGATGTCAACTATTGACAACTGAATGTAAAGAGGTTGCTGACATGAATGTGCAATTCTAACTTCTCTTGATCACATGACCTTAAAAAAGTGCTACAATATTAGCTTTATGTGCATACTTCAGCTACTTCTCTTCTATCAACACAACAGTCTTAAAAACATTATAAAAAATGAATAATCAAACAGCAATGACTATAAAACTAAACTAGATCAGTCCTTCCCTAATCCACTAATGAAAACGTTCTACAAAAAGAGGGAAAAAAGGAAAACCAGGAGAGAAAATAATGAACAATGCAGTTGACAGCAGCTTTATTTTCATACGCAGGTACAAAAACAGTCTGGACTTTGAATGTACATTGCTACAGGGGAATCCCAGAGCTCCATGGGGCGCTACACAGGGTGTGACTGGGTGGCTCAACATAAACAACCAAGCTGGCAACTTTGTAAATTGGGTTCCTTACCACAGTTATCTAGTGGTATGGAAGCCATGAACACAAACGGATAAGATTAAATAAATATAGACTAATATCACAGTTTTGAATCCAAACCACTGAAAAAATCCCTTTGTGC